GCAGTGATCTCTCTAGGCAGGTTTTTTCACCTCAGTGTTGTTTGAGAGAAAGCACACAAAGTCTGCCTGTTCACGATGCTGGACTTCCCCTTGCCTCTCCATCTATCTTCTCATCATTAATGGAGCTAAAAAGCCAAATGTGGCTACAGAGGCAAGGCAGCTCTGCTTGTCTTTTACCCAGACTGCAAAAGTCTGAGTAAAGACAGAACACTGTAAATGGAAAAAAACAAAACAAAACAAAAAATGTCTACCAAACCACAAAAGTGTGATGCTAATTTAGTGGTCTCCTGCAAAAACTGTAGAGAGTCCTACAGGTCCCTTCATTTGCTGAGCAGTGTTGTTCCTATTTCCCGAATCCAGTACAGACATCAAAATCGGTGATAGTGCTTTGTTCTTCTCTATGATTAATTTCCAGATATTACAGACAAGCGCATTCCTTATATAGCTACCACACATGTAGGATGCCAAATACATAGACCTTAGAGACCACGTGTACACACAGAACCTACTGGACTTCTGCCTAAGTAACCACACATGTGAAACCTTAGTACCTCAACAATGAGTCTGAGATGTCATGGGATGTACTGGACCTGCAGCACGTGTGCTCTGCAGGCAGGCTGTATATATGCAGTAAGTGCAATGTGTTCTGGAAACATCCAGTTTATCGCATATTCACAGATAATCTGCTCAACACATGCACAGAAGGCCTGGCATTACTGCGTACGTGTTGTGCTGCACGTGCACTGATACTTCTGTCTTACATTTCCTGGATAAAAATTAGGAAGTCCAAGTTCTATAGAATCATATATTGAAAATATATGCTCACTTATTTGGTTCCGCTGCAGTTAAAACTCATCTAAAATAATTTGGTTTTGTTCCAATGATACTGCATTTTATTGGTTTAAAGCAAGAGTGTTCTGTAAACGATGGAAGTACCCACTCAGTGCTTTGCAAAAGCTTTGTTTCTATTCTGTGAAAGTTCTGATTTTGACTTCTTGGATTTTTGCCTAATACTGACATTTCAGTACTCTTAATATATGCTCCCCTTTCCCTCCCACCAGCAGCTGGTAGATACAATTTGAAGGAGGAGTTATGAAGAAAGGCAAAGAATGCTAATTTAGAAACCTTGAGAAAGTAAACAAGATCGCCATGTTAATGCACCAGCCCTATTACAGCCAAATTCCCTTCCTAAGGTGTCTGACCATGTGCATCTGGTGAGCTCCCTAAGGGGTCTTGCAACCCAATGGTTTTGATGCTGTGTCTTTGTTCTTAAAAATCTCTTTCTCTTTTGCCAGTCCAGGGCATCCTTCCCCGCAAGATGTGAATCATTACAGCAGCATCCTAGCTCTGTATGCTGTCCATAATAAGGCGCGCATAAACCACGAGTGCATAACCAAGTGTTCAAAACATCTTTGTGGTTACACCAAAGGTTGTGTTTTGTGGGGAAACTAATTGCCTTTTTTTCTTCTCCACCTAGCGCTGGCTCGTGGCCTTTTTTTCTTCTTTACTTCGCACAGGCTCTCCTCTCTGCTTTTATGCTTTCCTTTGGATTGTGGCGTCCGTGACCTTCATGTTTTCTTTGCATAGCTATTTATTCCTATTGGGAAGAAAAGACTGTTTTTGCAAATATTTCTTCCTGCTCTAGCCGGGGTAATCTGGGACCTAAACTGTGTTTAGGTCCAAAGGCACCAAAGGCATGTGGAGTCTTGTCTATTTAGTCAGGCCAAAAGGCGAACTAGAAGATAAGAAGGCATTTCTCTAACACACCAGGGATTTCCAGTCACTGGCAGAGGTGGCAGAATTAACAGGAAATCAGCAGAAGCAGTCATTGATACAAGGACAATCACACTGTCGGTGTGCAGCTGGTAGCTGACTCATAATGCTTAGCAGGCATAAGAAGTCCTGCCTCCTTGCATGCCTTGTATCAGTAGAAACATACCAACTGAAGGATATTTCACTTGGCAAACTGGCATAACTTCACCAGGAAAAACGCAGGCTTTTGTTGACAGGACTCAGCATTGAGCATGGAGGAAATCAAGTGCAGGCCAACGTGAGGGTGAGCTAAACAGGATGCTGGCAGAATGACCAAATCACACCAAGCAACACAATCATCATGATCATTGCAATTTCCAAGATCTTAAATTTCAACCCCAAATTTGAGTAAGATTTGGAACGTTCAGAAAAACACATCTACAACCAGTGTTCTTTTCCCCTGACAGATTTCCCCTGATGCATATAATGGAGACCTTCAAAAACCTGTTTGAATGAAACATATTAGGCAACCTAAAAATAGGGGTTGATTCCAAGTGCTGTAAAATGAACTGTTTCACCTGTGTTTGTAATAAGCTACAAGTGATGTGAAACAAGGAGCTTATTTAATAGCATGTAGCAGATGGTCTGTGCAAAGTTGAATATGACAGGAAGATTCTTGTCCAAATTGGAGGTGAGACTGTTGTGTTTTTTTTCGGGGGGTGGGGAGGAAGAGGAAAGAAATAGGGGGAAGTGGGGATTACATCTCTGTTCACGTTGCTGGAATGCTGTTGGAGGCTGCTGTTACAGGTCAGGAACAGGAAGAACCCAAGTATGACTGATGACCATTTGGCAGGCAAAGTGTCTAGCACTGTGAAATAATTCTGAACGGCACTGAAATACAGGCGTGTACACTTGGATATCCAGATGAGTTTCATTTCTAGATAAGTTCTACAGACTGAAAATTAGTCTGGATACCAGCACCAAAGCCCTTTCATGATTTTAAAATCTAAAAATGAAGGCATTGCAACAAATTTCACATAATTGAATACTCATGTCTTTTGGCTGGTTAGGTAGAACTGCTCAAAACACCTTGCTTTTACCTTGGCAGTCTCTTGTGCAAATACTGGACTGGCCCAGACCTAGTCCATTCATGTACTTCCACCGTAAAGCAGTGTAATTGTACACAAGGAGATTTAATTAAGTATATGCATTTAAAATAGGTGCTGAGAGAGTTCGTTCAATAAAAAGAACATGAAAACAGGGGTTTACGTGAGAAAGTTGTAACACTTGAGACAGCAGAGAGAGATCACAAAAGAAATAGCTGTTGCCATTGCCAGAGCTCAGAAAACAAATAAAAAATTAACTCTTCAATTTGATGACCTAGAAGTAGAGGAGAAATAATGTGCGTATGAAAAGGATTAAAGAAGAAGCCAAGAAGGGATCAGTAAGAGAAAGGTTCAGAAGAAAATAACAGACAATGAGCTGACTGTGAAGGATCTGAAAACAGCGTGCACACAGATGTACATACAAATTCTTTTGGCCTTTATGAAGGAATATACAAAGAAAAACAAGTTCAATACTAACAAGGTGTTGATTACTTTGAGATACAGAGCTTGGCTGCAGAAGAAAGAGGACTACATATGTAGTTATTAGAGATGAAGTAGAAACTAGCACAGAGAATGGCATGTGTTACATAAACCTGGTAAGGCTGCACATGGAGATCTTCTTACTGCTATCAGAGGCATAAGAGGAAATGGAAGGCGACTTTTTCTGGGAGAAAGGGGCATAACATAGGCTTATAAGAAGGTTCAGAAAGAAACATTATGTTTAAAATACCAGCAGGGTTCTTTTCTAAAAAAAAAAAAGCATGAGAAAGTAAGTTTTCCTGTTAGTAAGCAATTAGTTAAAGGATTTTTCAGTCTATAAAAAAAATATACATAAAATTAATTTAGTTGGAGTGTTTTTTGATATACCTGCTGTTTTTTTCTGAAGGAAGCAAAGAAGAACCCTGGTCAGAGGGAGAGAGACATGTCACGTTTTTCTATTATTCACAAAGCGTTAATAACCACCGTCATTTAGCAACATTTAGATAAATCTCAAAACGAATACATATAGAGACTGAGGACGAAGACCGTCGGTAGCAGTCACGAGCGATCGATTTGCCACAACAGGCCTGTCGTCTTTGTTGTCACGTGTCCGGAGATCTTCGGGCGCAGGCAGCGATGGGCTCGCCCGGCCAGGTACGGCGGGTGCGTGGGGAGCCGCTCTGCACGAATAATAAAAGCTTTCCAGCTCGTGGGAGCGATTTGGGCCCCGACCTGGCACAAACAAACGGTACGAAAACACCGATCTGTAAGTCCCGAAGACAGGAGGACACGAGCAGGAGAGGCGGGAGGCTTCGAGGCCGGCAGGCAGCCCGCGAAGATGGGCCATTCGATGTTTCGTGTGAGGCCAAGCGGAGAGGCTTTGTGAATTCAACTATACCTCGTTTTCACCCTGAAGTTTGACAAACGCTCGTACCCTTTTGCCTTTTTCTGTAGAAAACTTTATTGCCACCGTTCTCAGTCCGCGTGAGCCTGAACTCAGAGAAAAGCTTTCGTAACGGGGCACAGCCAACACTTTCAACTTTCCAAAAAAAGGAACTTCTGTACTACCCTATTTAGGCTTCTGCCCCCTGTTACTATGCCCTGAATTTGGGCCGCAACAAGCTGGGAGAAGCGACGGCGACCAGAAAAACAGACACCCCCCGCCCCCCACAGCGGCTCAGGGGCAACGGGCGCCCACCGCCTC